TAAGGGAACGAGACCATAGGCCCAGGACTGAGCCAGGCATTAATAACCAGTCCTGGGCACAGCACTGAGGAGCCTGGAAGGACAGGAGGAAGGAGGGAGTGGAATCTCTGAAGTAATAGTGAGCTGGAGCCCCTCATCCACAGTCAATGACTTGAAGGCTGAGGGACAAAGGCGCAGGGCCAGGCTCCACTCTGCGCTCAGACCCCAATCCCATCGGGCAGTGGCCTAGGGACAGCCCTGTCCCAGGAGGAAGCACCAGGAGCTGTGACATCCTCAGGTCAGGGTGGGGGCGCATTCAGGGCAGCAGGTTCTGCCTCTTGGGAGGACAGCAGAGGCTTCCATGTAAGCAGGTGGGGGAGGGCGACAGTGGCTTCCAGGAGGAGGTGCCAGGGCTGAGATACAAGGACTCAGGAAACTGCCCGTGTGGGGTGGGCGGGCAGCTGGTCAGGAGCCCACACTGGGCAGCACCACTGAAGCCGGCGGCACGGAGAAAGCTGAGAAGGGAGCTCTCCGGGAGCGCCCTGCGGCTCTCGCAGACAGGCTGGAAAGCTGGGTTGACTTGATTTGAAATCATCTGAAGAAGCCAGTCCAACTCCCCAGTTACTTGTGAGCTGGGGTGGGGTCTGGTGGGGTTCTCCTCTGTGGCTAAGGCTCAGCTGAGCCCCTCGGTGGGGACAGTCACTGAAGGACAAAGAAGTGGGGCAGGGAGTCGGGGGTCTTCTGCAAACTGCCCCTGCAGTGGGTTCAGGGCAGACATCTAATAATCAACCGCAGGAAAGAAGAAAGTCAGGTCTCAGTCATCCTGCCACCCTGATCCCACCCCGCTGGGTCTCACTTTCAAAGTGTCTTTCCACAAGTCAGAAAACAGCTTATGTACACACGACGTTGTCAACTGCTCTCAAGAGTCCCATCCATGCAATGCAGTCTTAACCATTCTAGGAAATATAGACAAGAATCTCCTGGAAACTGAATACAGGGAGTTTCTACTTCTGAAAAGCTGAGAAAACTATAGGTAGGACCAGGTCAAACAGGGATGAGGACTTGGCAGAAGGCGCAGCTGTGCTGTGTCCTGCTGACCCCCAATTGGCCCACGTGGGGATGCCTGTCTCTGGCATCCTCCCAGCCACCAGCCACCTTTGCATTTTCATGGGGGACAGCCAAGAGACTCGAAGGCAGAAGGCCGCCGCTCCTGACTTCCACCCCCACGGTGGACGCATGGCCAGGGCACTTATTTCAAGATTGTTTCTGCAACTAACCGGACGATTTAGGAAGCAATCGATACAAGCAGTGTTTGGTGCCACGGTTTGCAATGAGCTTGAAAACCTTTTCTTTTCGAATAGTTCTTGCCTATATAGTGTGCTAGCTTTAAAAACACCAAACTTCTCCTTTGATTACTTTGTGGAGATGAAGAAAGGTACAGAAAATACTGAGTGTCGAGGTGTTTTGTTGTGACCATTGGCCTACACGACGTAGTGACGTGGAGGGCGATTCCCACTTACCTCGTGCCTGGTGGGGCTGTGGGGTCTGCCCTATGCCTCGCCCTCAGGAACGTGCTCTTCATGGTCGTCTCTGCCATGGAAGGCAGGAGAACCGGTGCCACGATGCAGAACAGCGACAGCCGAGGGGGCAGGACAGTGCCCGACGGCGCCTTCTTCTTCTGCCCAAACAGGAATTTTAGTTTTCCTTGAAACTGCATCGTCTGGTGTTTGAAAGACAGAAAGGGATGTGTGTTCACAGAGTGAATTGGTGCCATGTTCAAAGGACACAGAACTCAAGTGTGTGATGTGACTCACTCACAGGCATACAACTGGGGACAACTCCATCCTGAGCTGCTCAGGAGCCACAAGCTGACACTCAGGACAGCGTGGGCACATCTAACTAGCTTGGCCTTCTGGGGTGTGCACTACCCCGGGGCCTTGGGAATGACTCACAGGTTTTTCTGGAGTCCCTGTGACAGCCTTTAATTGACAAGCACTCATGGGTGTGGGCACACGCATGCCGACCCACATGATGGTGGGCACAAATGTGCATCTGAGTGGGCTGTTGCTGACCCAAGGCGGAGCGAGCAGCAACCCCCTGGCAGGAATTTGCTAGAGCAGATTATCTCTGAGGACGATTTCAGCTTTAACACTCCATTTCCAAATGATCATTTCTTCATTCACAATGATAACACTTAGGGACACCTTGATGTTAGTTATCCAGAGTGTATAGTGTGAGTTTAAAAACCAGCAAGTAACTTAGGACTTTGTGGATAAAAGAAAATAAAAGATGTCTCTATTAGAGAAGGCTGATGTATAACTGAGTTACTTAGCAAGTGCCTTTAGGGCACTCCGGCCTGCAATGGAAGACTGACCCCACAACGTGGCCCCACTCTCTCCCTATCCTTCCATCCACCCATCCATCCATCCATC